AAAAACCAAAAAAATTAAAAACCAAAAAAATTAAAAAACCAAAACAACAAAAAACCAAAAAAATACAAAACCAAAAAAATGCAAAACCAAAAAAATTAAAAACCAAAAAAAATTTAAAAACCAAAAAAAACCCAAAAAATAAAAAACCAAAAAAAACCAAAAAATTAAAAAAACAAAAAAATTAAAAAACAAAAAAATTAAAAACCAAAAAATTTAAAAACCAAAAAAATAACCAAAAATAAAAAAACAAAAAAATTAAAAACCAAAAAAATAAAAAAACAAAAAAATTAAAAAACCAAAAAAATACAAAACCAAAAAATTTAAAAACCAAAAAAATTAAAAACCAAAAAAATTAAAAAAACAAAAAAATACAAAACCAAAAAAATTTAAAAACCAAAAACTTTAAAAACCAAAAAAATTAAAAACCAAAAAAATTAAAAACCAAAAAAATTAAAAACCAAAAAAACTAAAAACCAAAAAATAAAAAAACAAAAAAATTAAAAAAACAAAAAAAAACAAAAAAATTACAAAACAAAAAAAACCCCAAAAATTAAAAAACCAAATAAATAAATAAATAAATAAATACCAAGGGTGCCCATCTTCAAAGGACAAAAACTTTGAGAAATACGGTAACAACTACAGTGCCTGGAATATCTTTACAAGCCAGGAGTGCAACACAGTGCAGGCGTGGGACTTTCTGAAGTGCCCTGGGCCGCGCCCTGGTGTTGAGGGTACCGCTTGGTAGGCACTAGCTGTGCCCTGGTGTTCAGGCTACCACTTCTAAACTCTCCTATCCCAACCCAGGTTTCTGTCTCTGGGGACACTCATCGGCCCTGGGCTCTGACATTGTCAGCCAGGCACACACGGGAGCTCTGCTCAGCAGAGCACATTCACCCAGTGACAGCTCCATGCAGTTGTCCTGCCATCCACTTCTGTCTGTTTTCAAGAAAGCTGTTAGTAAAGTTGAAATCTGACAAAACTCAACAGGATGACTCTCAAGACGAGAGGACAGTGACTGAGACCGGCTGCACAGAAGCTGCGGCGAAAGCCTGTAGTGAAGCATGGGGGCGCTGTGGCCCTGGGGACAAATGGCAGCTCCAGCCTGCCTGGCCACGCCTAAGGGCTGCCCAGAGGGGAAGGGGGGGTCACATGCGGGCCTGGATCCACTCGTCCAGGCCCATTTGGCCTGCAGATCCCAATCAGAGCAGTAAGGCGCGAGATCTTGCTAGAGATTACGCTGACCCAGGCACAAGTGAAGCCCTGGCTGCCGGAGAAAACAGCTAGAACCATCTTCCAATAAAGTGGCCTTTAATCTCTGGTGGGCATCCCTGCTATCTCCCCCAAATTCCTGAGCTAACATAAACGCTGCTTCCTCCTGTCCTTCTTCCTCACACTAAATATTTGGAGTCAATTAAGACACTCACCAATTCCTAACTTTCAGGACAAAGTCATTAACCCTACTCAGCCAGAAAGCCAGAGCAGTCCTGGCTTTCAAAAGGGCACAGAAAAACTACATTCCACCCTGGCTGGGGATCTCAGAGCACTGTCTTCACAAAGTACAGGAAAGCAGTTATCAAGACAAATTAAGATCCACGTGGGGAGGATGGAATTAAAGAAAAGATTTTTGAGACAAGGTCTTGTGAATTTAATTCAGATTGGCTTTGAACTACACAGCCATCTTCCTGCCTCAGCCTTCTGAGTGCTGGGATTGCAGGCTTGCACTAGCACACGAGCTCTATAATAAATTTTAAAAATGCAGAACACTCATGCCAGAACCAGCACACGGCTTAAAAGCAAATCAGCAATTAAATCCAGGGCTGGGGCCTAGCTTATCTAACAGGGGAGCCTCTGGGCGCTCCCTGTGCCTGGCTTTCAGAGCTCAAGTCCGGCCACCGCATTCCTCCCCCGCTGGAAGGAACTGGATCCCAGGGCCCTGGGGAGAAAGGAGAAGGCAGTAGAGGAGTTACCTGGCGGCAGGAGGGAGAAGAGGAGAGGCCGGCTGTGCCTCAGATGCAGCCCCGACGGCTGGCTCCAAGGTAGGAACAGCACAGCAGGGGAGGAGAAGATCCTAACTGTGGCTCAGCCAGGAAGGAGAGAGGACGACGGAAGAGGGAGTGGGGATATATGCACCTCGCAGGTCCCACCCAGAGCCCACCTCCAGCCCAGCCCCGCCTCCTGAGGCTTTTGGTCAGCCCAGCTACAAGGTCTCCTCCGATTAGCCCAGCACCTCATGTCCATCATTCCCAAGCGCAAAGGGTGATGGGGGACTGTCCAAAGGGAGCCATGACACACAAGTCACCAGCCACGCACACAGTCACGAGGGCCCCATCCCCCGGCCCCTCCAGCCCTGACCCAAGTGCATCCCTCTCCCCTGGACCCGCCCACCAGCAGGTCGGTATAGGAGCTAAGGCTGCAGGGCAGAGCCCTGACCACTCCTGTGAGTTTCCACACCAGTCACAGTCTCTGAAGCCACAAGAAATCACCCCAAAATATAAAGGGGGCCCCAGGACCCAGGCCCTGCCTGCATCTTGAGCCTGGAGCCCACACACAAGCCTGAAGCCCTCACACTGGCTGCCAGAACCCCTACCCCAGCAAGCTCCGGCTAGTTTATGCCTTGGAGCCATGTTGGTCACATACCCCAGAGACACAGAGTGATAAGATTCCCCGCTGGAAGTAGGCGAGAGACCAGCACTAGAAACGCCCAGAATCCCCCTCCCTAGGCCAGAGAGTCATCCAGGCTGCTCAGGCGGCCTGAACAGCCAGGCGCAAGCCACAGAGCCCCACAGCGCCTGGCGGGGGGCTCCCATCCGGGTGGTCCTGGCAAAAAAACACAGACACTGCTCTGCAGAGCAGCAGGGCTCTTCGAAGGCCCCGCACAGCCTAGCACTGGCCCTGCCTCACTGCACGGGCATGGCTTACGGCTGCCCCCCCAGCCCCACGCAGGACCTCAGGTGAGGAGTGTGGGGCTCTGGGCTGCACCCCCATGGGACGTGATCCCAGAGGAAGGACGGACACCCCTGGGGGACACCTTACAAAAAACACTTTGCAGTCACTCATGGAAAAGTTTTAAAGGTGAGGGAAGAACTTGAAAAACTGCCATCGGAGCACTGTCCTTTCCTGGGAGGGACACCTGTTCCTCTTCCTTGGCCAACACAGGGTTAAAAACAAGACTGTCTTAGCACCATCCAGGCTCTCCGTGGCTCAGGGCTACTGCTAGGCGCAATCCAACCCAAGAGCTAAAGTTAAAGACTGATACAGCCATGACACACCGCCACGCGTCTCTGCAAAGCTCCCCCGCTCATGCGTCCACCTCTGTGGCCTCTTTATGAGGCAGCACTAAGTGAAATTCTCTTTCCTAAGAGTCTTTCCAAAGGAGGGAGGGGACATAAAAATAGGACACCATGTCTTCACCTCACACAGGATCCAGCACCCCGTGACTTCCGGCTCTTCCCCAGGTCAAAATGAGTCAGAGACATTTTGAATGCATTTCTGACACCGAGGCAGCCCAGACAGTGCGGCTAAGACCCTCCGAAAAGAGGATTCCAGAGCTAATGCCGAAGGATGCAAGGATGGAGGGATGCGTGTGCTCAAAGTGAGAGGGACTTCAGAGGAGGGCTATTGGTGATGTGTCTTACTGGAATAATTTGTAAAAAAATATATATATATTTTCAGATACTCACCGTATTTTTGGACCATACCACATAGGAGAATGTACAGAACACAGCAAGAACATGGACAGAGTGTGAACGATGACACAGGAATTAAAACTAAGACCCGGGATAACTGGTGACAGGTGGTCCTAAGACAGACGGCCCCCACCGCCCATGCCGCTCGCAGGCTAACAACTCAAACACTGCCAAAAAATATCACAAGAAAAAGCCACTGAATAATGCCACAAATACTGGGGAAGAAACAGCTTCCCAAGCCAGATTCTTCACCCAGGAATCAGCAGAGATAAACCAACTCCTTTCCCCTACATGCCGAAGACCCTACGTGCAGAAATGCAAAAGCAAGCACAGACTTTGGAGAAAGTATTTGCAAGAGCAGGAGACTAAGGGTCTGCGCTCAACACATCTCAGTTAGTGAGATAAGAGACAGATAATTGCCCGGCATGGAGAAAGGGAAAGGAATGGGTACCA